CAGACTCTGCATGCACAGACTAGACTCTGCCATGCCGCTTTAAGCTTGACGTAGACTTGTCGCTGACCATTGCCTATAGTGGAGCACTGCAAAGCCTCGTGTATACTCGACGAGTCCGCACGAGCGCGAGTTTCCGCTGACTGTGCGCGTAACCTTGCAAAACAGACATTTATACTTAACTCGCTCGCCGATGTGCTATTATGTGAAACGACAGGGGGCGACTCGGAGTAATTCTCCTCTAAACCACCAGAAATCAGCAGTGAAGAAGTAGTTGGGCGTTTATTAATTGCTGATTCGTAGAAGAGTAAATTTGCAGTAGGTTTATTGTAGCCTACTTTCACTGCATGTAATCTAGTTAAACAACTGAAGCCTTTTTGAAGAGTGTTTAAACCTTAATTTCACCAGCAGGGCTTACTTTTGCTATTGTAGGCTTATTTTGTACATGTAGCCAATTACTTTAGACAAATGCAAACTACAGTAGGTGATTAATGCAAATGTTTTTCTTCACAAAATGAGTGGCTTTTATGGTCGCCCATCAATGCAAATGTCTCTGTGTATAGAAGGATCATAAACATGCTGGTACAGGCGTAACAGTTCGGCCAGATTCGGTTTGAAGTCGTTCATCTTCGGATACGGCGCCGCACGCGATATTATAAAAAGTGCTTTACACCTGCCAGGCGAAATAGGGTCTTGCACACGACCGCCCACACCGCAATGACGTCATTTTTGCCTTGCGAACATGTCAAGTACACAAGGCTTAAGAGTATGCATTTATTTGTCATTCCAACTGTTGGAACTTCAAAATCTTGTTGCGCCCCACAAGACCTGTTTGTTCGTTGATGATGTCATCAGCGAATAGTCGACTCGACTTTAAAACTCATTAAAAGAAGTTGTTCAACCCCTACTCTGGATGCAACCTATCATATGCACTCTGCTTATGTGGATGCAGTCTGTTTTGACCACAAAAGATGAGGTGGCATTTTGCCAGTTAGAAATACATGCTCTGTTTTAATGTCATTTTAGGGTGGGGTAGAATTAAATGTACGGCAAAACTCAGCATTTTGTTTGTGCACCACCTTTATCATACGCATACCCTAGTTTGTGAACCACTGGGTATGGGGATATTATATACAGTACAGTGTAATAATCATTATGTTTTTGGTAAGTCCCCATAACACCTGGAAACACACAATGTGTGTGTGCTCATGATCGGTGGTAAAGGCCTATATATCAGCTGTGAGGATCAATGGTTCAAAGCCACACGACTGAAATGAAAATGTATGTATATATATATATATATATGATTAATTCTGGCTGTATGCTGATATACCTATCTCAAAGGCCCCAGAGTACCCAGCAGGCTGCAAATCAATGGTGGCCTGAGATTGATGAACTACTTGAAAAAACACGTTATCAGTTGAATTATGTCCGCCGAGGCAGCCAATGTCACATTCTAGAAAATTAAAGTGGTGCCTTGAATGCAAAGGCCAAGTGTATGCAATTATCTACAACAGTGGTGTCAAACTCAGCTCCTGGAGGCCCACAGTCCTACTGAGTTTAGTTCTAACTCTGCTCCAACACTGTATTTTTTCAAATAAGCTTGAAGGACTGAGAAACTCCAAAATTCTGGGCCGTCTGGTTGAGGAACAACCACGCCCCGAGAAGACAAAGCACGTTTCTGGAAATGAACATTTGAGATTTCTCTTGCAAAACTACCATCCCCATCCGAGACGCAACACACCAAGCAGTTCACACCCTACCCTTACAGACTCCTCATTACTCATCCCAGTTTTTAGGAGTTTAGAGATATCTTGCTCACAGAGGAGGGTGGGTCTTTCATGCAAATGGGATCCTGCCCTGGAAAGGTGTAAACTCTGAAGACCGTGATTACTTGAGTTGTTATGCAATCGCATTATAGGAGGCTAGATACAAATACTATTGACACAATAACAGCAAGCATTGGAGCTGCATTATCTTAATGTACTAGTCATAACCTTTGATTATTGTTTGGGCTTCAACTAAGTTGTTATATAGACGACTGTAAGGGGCTAAATAAGTACCTTTTAACAATAGCAAGCATGGGCGGCATTGTTAAATTGCTTTAGCCAAAGCTTCTTGTTATCAATCAGTTTGTGATCGTGGGCCCACATAAAAATGAACGGCTGGTGCAAGGACCCTGTGGCTTTTTCGCACCTGAACGAATACAGTACAATAAAGGCCCGTACATACCAGGACGTATATCGGCGCACGTTATTCGTCAGCGTTTTTTGTGTTCACACCTAAGTGATTTTCGGTGACAATGAGGCGAGTGAACATGCAAATTCATTCCCTGACATTAGATGCCGCCCATTTGCTCTGCAATACCACTGCATACAGTATCAGTTCTCTTTTACGTATCAAGATTTTTGTAATTGCTGTCGTGTTTTCATCTTGCCTTGAATCTTCCTCGTCTTATTTCTTCCTGGCTGTGTAGACGGCGAGGCGTATAACTTCTTCTCCGTTACGTATGTGTGCTCAGCAAGACCGTTTTGTGTTTGAGCACGCCCCCAAGTTGTGTTTTACTGTAACTTCAGAAGCTCCCAACACCTGAGCAAAAGCGCCAATCTCGTTGGCTCAATTTTGAAGTGGTGCGTCAAACTAAAAAAACTAAAAAAACGTTTTAAACGTTTTTTAAAAATAATGCTTTCACGCTTGGCGTTTTACACGTCAGTGTGCACACTCACATTGGTGCCCTTTGTTTAGTCATGAGGCGTTAAATGTCATGAATATTGCGTGTGAATTTTGTGCCGGTGTGAACAGGCCTTAAGAGTAAAGAGTTAAATAGAATAATCAATTGTGTAGATAAACTGTCAGGGCTTCAGACTACGACCAAATGGTCGCAATTTGCGACCAAAATTTGAGAGTGTGCGACTGAATTTTACATCCAGTCGCTCATGTGCGACCAGTAAATTTGCCACACGTTAAACGTGTGGTTAAACGTGGAAGGGGCATGAATGTGTGTGACAAGAATAGGGAGTGCGCGTAAATGTCTGTGGGAGACGGAGACAAATATCACAACCTGCTATGTGCGTCTGAGCAATGAGCGATCTATCGACTTGTTACCAAGCAGCGAATGCAAACAAAAATTAAAGTGGAATGAAAATGCGCTACTCATTTATGCTTCACGGACCGTTTATTAGTTCAGACCAATAATAGACAGAGCAGCGCATAGCCTTCCTTATGTATATCAATGGAGCAGCGCCCCAAACCATTGACAGTAAAATAAAGACCCAAACTTGCCAGTCGCCGATTTCGCTCACTGTTACTAGGAGATCCAGTGAAGAAATCAATTGAATTCACCTCAGAATTAATAACATCATCACTACGAGATCCAGTGAGAAACATTCCGATTCAGCGCAGAGTCTAGTACCCTTCGTTCCCTGAGTAGGGAATGGAGACGTTCTGTCGGATGACAACGAATGGGGTTTCGTTTGCTCCATTCGTCGTCAGCCGACGGAACTCGGAGTGACAACAAAAGGAAACTCCTAAGTCACTAAGACCAAATCACAAAACAATTGTAAAATAGCTGTGACCAGATTCACATGGTATTTACAGATCAATGTTCCAACGATAGGTGTGTGTCATTAACAAAATATTTCATGTCAATATATATATATATATATATATATATATATATATAAGTAAGTAGTTTCTGGGGTAATGACCAATTTCCTCTTTGGCAACTTCATTAGCAAGGATGCATTAAATTGATCAAAAGTGACAGTAAAGACATTTACAGTGTTACAAAATATGTATTTCTGTAAAAAATAATACATCGAACAAATTACTAAAATTACAATTATAATATATCCTTTAGACCTTATACAAAATATAATACTGCACCTCCAATGACTTTGCTATGAATTTGAAATCAATACAAATAGTTAATAGTCACTAAAATCCACTAATATTTATTTTAAATATTAAATATTTGAAATGTCCATTTTTTTTTTTTTTAAGAAAATCCCTTTGGTTTCATCCTTCTGCTGGAAAATATAGTCCTCTGAAAGTTTACAGGCTGCACAGTGATACAAAAAGTATCTAGATAAACAAGATATTTAGCGCCGTAGTCGAAAATTATTGACCAATGGAACTTTCCATCGTATAAACAGGAAATACAAAATGGTAGAGACTAAATGTGACAGCATAATGTATTTTCACTGAGTGAGAGTTAATGTATGGATGGACATTTAGATTGCTCAAATTAACTCGCAACTTGAGGTCACACTGTTCCCATGACAACCCCACTATCTAGTAGTGCAAGTACAATGTGGTTTGGTGGTATGGTAAGGTTTATGGGTGGGTTAAAGGAAGGGAAAGAAAGAAATTACAGCTGTAATTACATTATTTAAAGATAAGTACAATGCACAGAAAATATGTGCATTGTATCAAATGTTTAATTGAATTGTTATTACATTGTAGGACTGTATGACCATAAATGTTTACAATGGAGGTTAAAAAGGTTGCTTCTGTCTTGCTGAATGTTTCCAGCGTGGAGTGTGTGGTTTCTGTGCAAGTAATGTCACGAAACAGAACTGGAAATATAATGAATGTTTTAGGTCATGCAGGTTTCTCATCTTACATTGGTTGGACAAACAGATCATTCTATTGGTTGAGTCACTGTTGGAAATATTTAGGAAAGCCCGAGGCCAGAGAGAGTTTCTGGCCAATTGATGGAACTGCTATATTTTACAGTATTTGATCATGAACATAACACTTAAACGACTTTTTTGTATTGATTGTTATTAAACTTGTCAGCTATGCAACATGATCTGACTGAATAACATATTGTATATGAGATTTTGTCAAAGCTTGAATGATTTGAGATCATGTCAGTAAGAATGGGTTAAAATTGCAAACCAATCACTATTGTTTTGATGTATGCCATTATCATGTGTTTTTTCCTGCATTATTTTAACATTATTTATTTTAACGTTTTTTTTCTTTTCTGTAATTTACAGTCAAAATCCAAAGGTTCGCAGCAGTACGTCAACAAGGTAAGTTGATCAAGCTTGGGAGCCAGCATTGATGTATTTTTGGACAATTTTGAGAGAGAGGGGACCTCACTCATTATGCTACATTAACAAATTATCACTAATGTTTTACTCAGGAACAGTTCCATTAAATATGAAAATTCAGTCATCATTTACTCATCAAACCTGCATCCGTATGACTTTCCGTGTTCAGTAGAAAGCAAATAAAGATATTTTGGCAAATATTTACGCTGGAACAGTATTTGAATGCAATAAAAACATACAGTAACAAAGGGCTGTTCTTTCTGGTGCTTCACAGCATGCATTTGTTGCACAAAAATAAAAGCTCTTTTGTGTTCACACATTGGAAAGACGTGTTGTGTAAATGATGACACAATTGTCCTTTTTGTCTAAATGGTACAGTAAGCATGAAACGCTCAAGCATGTTTTACTGTGTATATGTCTATTTCTTTATGCTGACTTCCTCTTAAAGTATCTTGTGAAAGTTCTAACTCATCAGCTGCTATAATATAAACATCGGTGCTGGGATGCGTGTGTGTGTGTGTGTTTGTCACAGCCCAGCTTCACCTAGTCCCACTTCACCGCGCTCCCCCTCGTGGCCGATGTTCTCTGCCCCCTCCAGCCCCCAGCTGGCCTCAAGCCCCTCCAGCGAATCCTCCCCCCTCAGGTGTGTGTCCTGCTCCGGCCTGCTTAAACCACTATCTATAGCGGTTTTCTAATCGTTCAGTGTTAAGCTTCAGCTTTGCAAATTCACACCTTCCCCCTCAAGTCTGAGCAGATACAACAACTCCACTAATATTAGTTTTTAATGTATTGTTATTGTTATTGTACTGTATTTTTTTTTTCCTTTAGTATTTACAGTACTCGGCATAAATGACTAAACCTCCGAAAATTAATAAAGTAAGACGTATTAGGTTTCCTTAAAGATAAAATGTTCCAGCAAGTCTGCTTGATCAGATTCTTATTATCAAAGGGATAAAATATTGTGTTGCAAATATGAGTACACCGTCCTAAGAGTTACAAAATAAAGATTTTCTTTTGCAAGTTCAAAGCAATTTTTTATCAAAGCGAGTATGTTAAACCAAAATATTTTCAATACAAGCAATTTCTCGACTTTTAAAAGTGTTATCTGGACTGTGGAATCCACTTGGGATAGAATTGTCCACATTTTTGTATTTCGTTTCACAAAAGAAGCAGTGGTACAAGAGCATTCCCCAAGCGTGTGAAAATATAGTTAAAGAAACAGAAACTCAAAAAGAAGGGACTTTTGATTTTTTTTTTTGATGAGTTGAGTTTTTTGCTAAGAAAAGAGCTGGAGAAATGCCAGCAAGTGTCTGAGAGCTGATAAATGCTGTGAGAAAAGTGATGTGACTGTGCAGAAGTGAAATGCATTGTTTCCCTTTCATGGGAACCCAATGCTGCGTAAAAATGTTGATGCAATGGGAACGCTTCTGCTACTTCAGCGCGAAGTACGTTCTGTGGTTTCCTCCGGACTGAGTGAGGTCCCGGTTTTGGCTTTTTTAGACTCCCTTCAGAGAGACTGGGGGTTAAGGTGATCACAGCCGAAGCCTTCCCAGAGGCAGACAGATCTGAGGACTGTCATGATCTCGAGGAAGGTTTCAGGCAAGAAGTCCTGGCATCAGAGGGCTTAGGGTTGTCCTCCGAAGTTGCCTACTCCAGGGTTAAGTGTGCACAATTTTTTCTCAGTGCCCTAGGGAGACCGGTCTGCCAACCACACCACTTCGGGTGTCCTGGGGTGCAGCGGTCTTGAGTGAGTTTCTCGCCCAGTCTTTGCCTGGGTATGTTGTGAAACTGGGGTGATCGCTCCCTCTGGGGAGGGTATTGGGGATTATTTTCGGTCGTTCTGTACCAGCATATTACCAGAGCACCTATCCGGCAGCATGAGACTTCCGTCAAATGTCTCATTGGGTTATGCAAATTGTAGAAAAGGGTACAGAATTGAGTTTGGTTTTCATCCCCCATGCTTAAATGGAGTACTGTCCACTGTGGCCAGCTCTGATCAGACTTTTTTTTGGCGAAAGAAGCCATAGAGCTTATTCCCTTTTCCTGAAAGAGACGGGTCATCTACAGCCCGTACTTCAAAGTTTTAAAGAAAGATGGGGAACTGCTTCATCTGAACCGTACTGTGCGGAAACTTATTGTGTCTCAAATCAAGCCCAATGACTGCTTTGTGACAATAGATTTTTCGGAACTTACCAATATGGAGTACTTCTATTTGCCTAGCCTTGTCACCTCACAGCTTCACAAAGAGCACTGTGTTATGATTCCAGGGCATTTAGGACTCCATTACATCGACGACTGGCTGATCCAAGCTCAGTTCAAGGAAATGGAGATTCGGCATTAAGTTATTGTCCTCACTCTCATGAAGTGTTTGGAGTTAAGACTAAACTCAATGAAGAGTGTGCTTTCTCAACTACAGAGAACCACTTTTCTAGGGGTGATTTGGGACCTGCATTGACTACAGTGCAGGCGTATCTGGCTCCTGCTCTTATCGAGTCAATACTTTCAGCCATAGGCAAAATCAGGCCAGGCCAAGCTGCTTCCCTCCTGGGCTGGGTTGCGGTCCTAGATGGCTGCTCAATTCAGGGTCTGTGGTGAGGTCTTCATCTTTCATGAAACATAAAGAGCTTGGAGATTAGGGCTGTATTTCTATGCTTTTTCCCAGATCTCAGAGTCTACCATGTCCTTGTCCATTCAAACAACATCAGTAGTCTCATACACAAATCACCAGGAAGGTCTTTTTTTTGCACACTCTCTATGCAGATTTCCGCAACAGATCCTCCTCTGGGCCCAGGGCAAGCTTATATCTGTGAGGGAAGTTTACATCCCTGGGCATCTAAATAATGACTCCACCCAGAAAAAGGTTCAGCCAGGCAGAAGTGGACTTGTTCTCATTAGAAGAAATGGCGCACTGTCTGCCCTGGCTCTCCCTCAAGCGAATCCAACTCTTTTGGGGTTGGATGCCATGGTTCAGACTTGGCTGAGGCTATATCTGTACTCATTTCCCCCAATCAATCTGCTCCTGGGAGTTTTAGAGTGGTTTTCTAGGACGGGGTTCGTCTGTTAATAGTCGCCCCATTCTGGCCGTCACAAGTTTGGTTCTCAGACCTATTGTCTCTCCTGGACGGCTCTCCACGGAAGATTGCCGTCAGGAGGTAACTTATGTCTCAAGTAGGAGGCAATATTTATCACCACAGTTTGGAAATATGGAATCTGTGGGTTGGGCCCCTGAGGGGGTAATAAACTCTTGGAACTATTGTCTCTTAAACGAGGTTGTGGAGACCATCCTTTACTCTGGAGGAAACTTTATGCATTTAAGTGGTCACTCTTCGCTTTATGGTGCAGAGAGCATCATTTGGACACAGTCAACTGCCTGGTTGGTTCAGTGCTGGAGTTCCTTCAGGATTCAATTTCTGCTGGGTTAACACCCTTCACATTGAAGGTGTACGTGATGGCTAGTGCTGTTTACCATACCTGTCGGAGTTGAGTCTTTGGAGAGACAAATTAGTGTCTCATTTCCTACATGGTACTCTACAGTTATACTGTGCAGGCCTGCATGTTATGCAAGAGTTCCGGCCTGGGACTTGGCTGTAGTACTATGGCACCCTTTGAGCCTAGAGTCAGCTGCAGATAAATTTCTGTCTCTTAAAGGATTAGTTCACTTTTGAAAAAACTTTTGCTGATAATTTACTCTCCCCCATGTCATCCAAGATGTCCATGTCTTTCTTTCCTCAGTCGAAAAGAAATTTAGGTATTTGATGAAAACATTCCAGAATTTTTCTCCATATAATGGACTTCAATGGGAACCGGATGGTTCAAGGTCCAAAAGATAGTGTTAATAACAGTTTCAGATGCAGCTTCGAATGTCTTTAAACGACACCAGACGATGAATAAGGGTCTTATCATGCGAAACGATCGGTTATTTCAAAACTTATTCCAAAAATGTAACTTTTCTAAGGACAAAAGCTAGCCTTGCTATATTCTCTGAGGCCCGTTTGTAACGTCACGTAATACGTAATTACGTTCAAAAGGTCACGGCGACGTAGCCGGAAGTACAGAATCAAAGTCGTCCGACATCGTTGTTTTTCCTTTTAATTCCTTTTTTTGTAAACGCCGTTTGAGTTAGTTTGCACGTTCAACTTGTAAACACTGACTCTGTACTTTCGGCTACGTCGCCCGTGACCTTTTGAACGTAATTACGTAATACGTGACGTTGCAAACGCGCCTCACAGAATAGAGCAAGGCTAGCATTTGTCCTTAGAAAAGTTAAATTTTTGGAATAAGTTTTGGAATAACCGATCGTTTCGCATGATAAGACCCTTATTCATCGTCTGATATCGTTTAAATACATTTGAAGCTGCATCTGAAACAGTTATTAACTGTCTTTTGGACCTTGAACCATCCGGTTCCCATTGAAGTCCATTATATGGAGAAAAATCCTGCAATGTTTTCATCAAAAACCTAAATTTCTTTTCGACTGAGGAAATAAAGACATGGACATCTTGGATGACATGGGGGTGAGTAAATTATCAGCAAAAGTTTTTTCAAAAGTGAACTAATCCTTTAATATGGCATTCTTACTTGGAATTACCTTGTTTAAAGGAGTAGAAGATCTGCAGGCCCTGTCTGTTGCCTTCTCCTGCTTAAGGTCCCGATATACTCAAGGCAAAGTTATTTTTCGATCTTCCTTTTTAGGTAAATTTAGGTTGAAATACGTGAGCAGCGATATACAGTTAGCGAACATCTGACACTGCCCACACTGCTGAGAGCAATAGTTAGATGAATATGTAAATATATGTTGCGCTCTTTCCTCTCAGTTTACCAAGAGGTTTTGAACACCAAAACTGACGATTGTGGAAATTGAACTGAAATTGAACTGATTATCAATTTTGAAAACGGTTTTTTGCTGCTTAACATATTTGTGAAAACAAGGATACCATTCAAACATTTGTAGTAAGATAAAAAAAGAGTTGTGTTAATAATTAAATTGATCAAAGGTGACAGTTGCGAACATTTTTAATGATGCAAAATATTTGTATTTAAAGGGACACTCCTTCCATTTGCATTAAGATTTCCATTGTTAGAAATCCAGTCATACTATTGAATGGTCGTGCAACACTCTCTCATTTTCCGCTGAGATGAGAGAAATCAGCTATTTACCTTTTTCACTTCCTCCTACAGTGACTAATCAAAAATCGTCATTTTACGCCATTGTAGGAGGGAGGATTTCTGTAAAGACTACAAGCACTAGTCCCCACCCTTTCAAACCCGCCCATAGGGGGTTGGACCTAATGCGCTAACAGGCTTATGACAGATCAGTGCCAGTGCGTTTGATTTCACCCGCAGAAACTTTTTGAAAATATGGACTAAGGAACTGAATATGCAGACGGATGCATTATGGATAGGGTTGGGTACCTAAACGCGGTGCTAATAGGGAACCAGTTCCCATGTAAACGGTATTAACCAGACCGAATAAGAACGAAAATTTTGGTGCCCGAGTCTCTGTGTCATGATGCGCACACACGCAAAGTCTCTTGCTCTCTCCCTCTCCCTCAGGCACGCACTATACGGTTTGGAGCACAGTCTGTTCTGTCTCGCATTCGCGCTCTAGCTCACTCGCTCAAGATTCCGGGAGATTTTAACTAATTTGCAGGGCATTAGGGAGCCATTATCAATATCCGGGAGACTACCGGAACGTCTGATAGTGAGGGGATTAATGAAGATGCCGAAGACAAAACGCTCCAAGGTTTGACTGCATTTCACGTGTAAAATTATGCGTCAGAGTAAGTGTGGCGATTGAAGCCCATATAGAATCACGCCAATCCATTGACTGATGGCACTGGCGCCGCCTTGACGCTCTTACATCATCACATTACAGTATATTAGTGTGCATTATCTGATTTCATTGTGCAAAATGATTTCCAGGTGGTAGCTTAGAGTGGAGCTCAACTCTAGTCTGCATTGAAGGACGGAGTAGTGGGAGTGGCCTGTGGAGCTGAGCATTGCAATGCACTATGGGGATTGTTTACAATCCACAAGCACGTTTTCTGGACCCAAATTAGAAATTTATGATACTATTCTATTACATATATAACCCACTTTCAATACATATTCATGTCTCCACCAGTGGAATTACTCTTAAATGAATGCTTTAATAAATTTAATAAGTTTAATAAATACAAATAAATGCTGTTTATTGAACTTTGTATTCATCAAAGAAGCCTGAAAAAAGTATCAGCATATCAACAAAAATGATAAAACAGCACAACTCTTTTCAACATTGATAATACCATCAATAATAATAAATGTTTCTTGAGCAGCAAACAATTTCAGTAGGATCATGTGACGCTGAAGACTGGAGGAATAATGCTGAAAATTCAGTTTCGCCATGAGAATAATAAATTCTATTTTAAAATATATTAAAATAGAAAACTTTTCATTTCTAACATCAGGGTTTCGTAATATTTGTAATAAGTAATATTACTGTTTTTACTGTATTTTTTTTTATTAAATAAATGCAGTCGTGGTGAGCATAAGAGACTTATTTAAAAAAAATATATATACATTTTTAAAAAGTTTCTAAACTTTTTACAATTGTTTCAAAAATTTAAATTTTATCATCTCTCCATGAGTTGTAATAGTGATCAAGAAAAATAAAAATATATTTATGTTAAGAGGCCTGTACATGCTATCCCAAGATACTTCAAAGACTACAATGGTCATTTAATACACGTAAAATAATAATATAACATTACCATGGCAAAATTATGAACAACCCATAATAATACCATGGCACTTTTTTTTAAACACATTATATATATATATATATATATATATATATATATGTGATTACACTAATGTCCCCTTAAGCGTACATTTAAACATACATTTATGCACTTAAGCCCCCTTAAACATGCGAACATTTGGAGCTATTTCAGCTTGAAATCTGCAAACTTAATAAAGCCCTTTTCGTGTATTTTTCTGAGCAGATATTGATATCATGCATTTAATTCAATTAAAAATGTTGAAATTCATTACTAGCCCTAACAAATGTTCTTTTCTTTTCCAGCACTCCGCTCCGAAAAGCACGTGCGCTCTACGCCTGCAAGGCTGAGCATGACTCTGAGCTGTCCTTTATCGCAGGGACCATATTCGACAATGGTACGTCTCCGTTTTTAAACCTCAGAATCTGTCCTATATTTGGTTAGTTAGGAAGGTTGGAGCCTTGAGCGTTGGCGTAGGAGCAGCGAATCGATATATCTGCTTTGTTCCACCTCCTGCCCCTCAACAGGTATTAGAGATCGCACCTTCCACGGTTTGACATTTGACACTGTGGAGCAGTAGATTAGATTAGCGTTTAATGAAACCACTGCAAGATTCAATAGAGGCTTCAAATTCTCCAGATGATTCTCCTGTTTTTTTTGGTTGAGGGGATAGAGATAGTCAACTTCTTTTAGAACTCAGGGATGAGTCTACGTTTTTTTAGGTGGTAAACCAACATTAAACAACAGATGCCACACATAGAGCTTAACTTGAATCCAGAACACGTATTCCTTTGTGCACTGGGGGAAAAAAGAGGATAACCAGAGGATAAAGTTGTTGGTAACACTTTACTTGAAGGGTTGTGCATAAGACTGTGTGTCATGAATATGAAATAGGGTTTATGCATGTTTATGACAACTGTTATTAAGTGTCATTTGCTCAATTATGACATTTTGAATGCAAATATGACGTCGTTTAAGATGTCTTTGACATATTGACATAAACCAATACATCATTACCTGTCAGTGTCTTTGTCATGACAAATTGACATTAAATGAAGTTAAACTGTCATGTGGTTGGCTTTGACATTGGCTGTCATGAGGCCATTATAACTGTGTCATGAATATTTTTCGTGACCTCAACTACAGTGGTACTACTATTAAAAAGTTATAATGACCTCATGGCAGGCAACAGTTGAATGTAATGTTAACCAATAAAGCTAGCTGGTTTCTTAAGTTTGATAATTAATCTGCTATGTCATGTTTATGACAGGTTGTGTTGTCTTAGTAATGTCAAGTTGTCATGACAAAGACTCTGATAGGTTATGATGTATTGGTTTATGTCAAGGTGTCATAACAAAGACATCTCAAACAATGTCATATTTGCATTCAAAATGTCATAACTGAGCGAATGACACTTAATGACATAAAACTTCCTTCATATTCATAACATATGTCATGATTATGAAAGTGTCATGTCAGTCTTATGCACACCCCTTCAAGTGAAGTTGTCAATGCGACCCAAAAACAATCTTCCTTTTTGCATTTTTGTCTCATAGTTCATCGGTCTAGAGAGCCAGGTTGGCTGGAGGGCACCTTGGATGGGAAGACGGGGTTGATTCCGGAGAACTACGTGGAGTTTGTTTAGACGCTGTTGGTTGGAGTCTTTGGCGAGGCAAAAAGAACTGGACTTCGACAGAAAAGCCACATTAGCATGCCATAACGTTATGGGTTTTTGGCAACTGTGGCATTTCATTAGCGCATCATTGTCCCACATATCCCCAGCGCACTGCAGCTGTTTAAAAAAGGGAACCGAGAACAAGAAAAAAAAATGGGAC